AGGGTGATATAAAAGGAAAATAATTAAGGCGTACTTGAATTTAAGATGCTATCCCTTATTAAGGATAATTGTATTCGGAATGAACTTTCAAAAATATTTTTACAAGAAAATAAGCAATAGAGTCCCTCATTAAAGATAATTGTATTAGGAAGGAACTTTCAAAAATATTTTTACAAGAAAATAAGCAATAGAGTCCCTCATTAAAGATAATTGTATTCGAAAAGAACTTTCAAAAATATTTTTTACAAGAAAATAAGCAATAGAGATATTTGATCAATTATATGCATTATGTGGCATATATATTCTAATTTTTTGTAGCCAAAAATAGATTTTTTTAAAAATTTTTCTTATTTTAAAATACAAAAAATAAAAAAATTAATATTTTTGACCTAGGCAGTTTGGGATCTCTCTCAAAATTTTTATTTTGTTTAATTATAATTTGTCATGAAATTAAAAAATATACTTGATATCTAAAGCAGAAACTCTCTTTATTTTGTTAAATATCGCTTAAATAAATTTATGTTGTCCTAGTGTTGTCGGTCGCAACAAGGCTACACAGATGATGATGACGATAGTAGCAATGTAGTAGAGAGACGGTTGCTGGCTATGTTAAGAAATTAAAAATAGTTACAAACTTTTAATCAAATATAATTTAAAAACAAAAATTAAAATAATTGATATTAAAAATACTTTAAAGCTGAATTACCAATAATATTTCATTTCTTAAAAAAAAAAGTAAATATTTTTTTTTTCTTCTAAGAAACCCTATGACGATAACAACTCCTTGGAACCGTTCTTCGGATTAAATGGCTTTGCATCAGCCTGTCATTATCGCCGTTAACGCATGCCCTTTACAATCAGCAATCCGACAAAGCCTTATTCTTTTATATAAACGATGAAACCGTGCAAAATCTTCTGGTATAAAACCCTTTTAAGATTTATGTCGGATATTAATTTTATTTACACCCGAGCCATCAATATTACTAGCAACACCCGGTCTACCTGAAAAAGACAGAGAGGCTAACCGTACGTGAAGCTGTTTACTTCCCAATAAACACAGAGACGAAAAATGAGTTCAATTAATTTTCAGTACGCCAATTTAATTACCCATTAAAATAAATCATATATTAACTAAGGCGATATTATATTTTATAACAAAGCCGGCATAAGTGGCTAAAAGGAGTATGGCTTTGAACAATTCATAAATGGTCAATATTATTCCAAACAATTGACGAGGTACTAAGTCCTTAATTAAACCAATTAATTAAAAATGATGATGATGATAATAATAATAATAACAGAATTGAGGGCTTGAGAGAGAACGACATTTGCTACCTCAAATCTACATATGATTAATGATGATGCTTCTTTATTATTAATTACTATTTTGTAATTATACTTAACATTATCAATTTTTTTTTATCAATTGATATATATAGAATAATAAATTTAGTGTACATGTATTTGAATGAGTGTAAATTAAATAAATACAAGTCATTATTTTTTTATTTGATTTAAATTAAAATGAATATATTGTAAAATCTAACAATGATGGTAAGCTGCAATGGAGGGATATGATAACCTTAAATACAGGAAATTCACTAAATACCGGCGGTTATAGAAAATATCTACGGCAAAAAAAGATCGTCGGTTTCAATTTTCTAAGCGTTTTTTTCATATGTGGCAATTCCGCCAAGATCTCTTCGCTTGGCAATGAAATTTTGAGTCATGGATACTTTCGGTTGGGTGTTAAATGCCGAAAATTTTAAAAAATACCGGTATTTAGCCGGTTCCATCAGAAATTTCTGCTGGTATTGAACGATTTTCTTGTAAAGCTTTTGGTAGCATGTGATTTGTTGCCAAGGATGGGCGGTGGTTGGTGGTGTCTTTAGCAGCGGGCAACTGATGGCCAGTGGTGATAGTGTGGTGGCTGGAGGCGATAGCATGGTGGTGGTCGGTGTCAATAGTGGCAACTAGCAGGAGCCGATGATAATCAGCAATGGGCGACGGCTGGTGGCTTGAAGGCTACTATTATGGGGGACGACGATGATATAATGATTGAATTTATAGTGAATTTTGTAATCCATCAAATCTAATAATTTTTAAATAAATTGAAATTGATCTAAATATAAATGATGAATTCTAAATACTTTAAAATTTGATGAAACCTTAATATTTTAAAAAACAACAGCATTTGTAATACTTTACTCCTTTTGATTTCAAATCAAACAGCCCCTTAGCAATTGCATTAATTGCACTTGTATTCCATTAATTTTCATAAGTTATTAATATTATCATGATGGCTGATGTGTTATTTGGAAGCTGGCTGAAGCCTTCTCACCATGTGATGAAAATTTAATGATTAAATTAATTTTAAATGAATTTAATGATTTCTAAGTTGATATAATTTATATTACAATATTCTCTAATAAACTTTTTTATATAAATGCATAAAAGTGATGATTAATTAGATATGCCTTTTAAAAATTTATATTAATTGATTTTAGAAAATTTTTATCTGGACATTGTATCTAAAGGAAAACCCTAATCACTAGCTTTGTTCATCTTTCACAATAAAAATAAAATAAAATAAAATAAAAAACACACACAATATTAGTGTTGAATTTAAGGAAATAAAGAAGTATTTTCATATAAAAAATTCAAATAACATGTAATATATATCCATGATGTACTGCTACTCCTTTGAAAATTGAGAACTATAACTGGAAAATGGATTACAGATTTTTTTTTTTTTTTTTTAATAAGGATTACAGTTGCTACTACAGATTCTCGTATTCTAATTGCTTTCTTCTGTTCTTCAAGGGGAGAGAGTGATGGAGTTTGGTTGTTACTGTTAATTACTGCAACTGATAATCCTATCCCAAAATTGTGGAACTTTTTTAATTTACGATATAATATGGTTAAATAATTATTTAGTAGAATTGTACATCTCAAATCAGTGTTCAAGTTCAAGTTAACTGATTATACTGAACTCACCAAAAGATAAGTTATATATATAATCAAAAAATATCTTGATCGGGCACATATCTCGAGGCAAAATCAAGTTGGAAGTTTTTGAAGTTAATTTTGAGACTAACTGAACTCCGATTTCAGCAAACTTATAGTAAAAATGAACGCCTCGAAAAAACAAACCCAACGACACCAAATTCTACTCAATCCGAGCCCAAATGGGACCAAATCGAAGAGCTGAAGTGCATTTGGAAGGTTCAAACTATAAATTGGATGAACAAACAGTTCTAAATGTGACATGCTTACAGTCGAATCAAGTGGATCGACGAGGCGAATCCAACGAGCCTAAGATAGCCAAATTTTGACATCACTAAAGCATTCAAATATCCAATAAATGGTCCACGATTAAGGGAATCAACATCGGTCGTCCATTCAAACCAATCCCAACCTACCCTTGATCTCCCTCATATTTACTGGTCATGCCACTCTAAAAAAACTACAAATATACTACTCATTCCTCATGGAAAGGGGGCCAAGCAAAGAGGGAAGCAAGAGCAAGAGAAATCCTTGTCGTCAAGCTCCTCCTCGACCACGTCCCTGCCATCAATCGTCATCGAACTGATGCCAGACTTTAATTTAGCCCGTCCACTAACTAACGTTGAACTTCCATTGCCACACAACGATCCTTCTAACCTCCGTCGCCAGACAACAATCTTTCTGACCTAGTCGCTAGACAACAATTTTTCTAACTATTGTGTCGCCTGCCAACTACGATTCTTCCTACCTCCATAGTCTGATAACGAACTTTTCGACCTCCGTCACCCGACAACTACGATCCTTCCGCGATTTTTTCCCTTTTCAGAGTTTTCCAGGAAAAAATCTTGATGTCTCTTATCAATAATGCACCCTCACTTCTTATCTGATTGTATGATGGATCTTCATACAAAACTAAGACGTTAAATTTTATATTTCTCTACCACCGTGATTATTCTAGGATGCAATATATTGCGTCCTTGAAAATTCGCGGCTATAATCTTCAATTTATTCATTTTTTTAATGTGATAATTTCAGTAGAACTATGTTTATGCCCCTACCAATAAAATTGGATTAATTATTCTGTGCGGACACCGAACTTCTTCCGGAGACCAACCAGAATGTGCCACACCACCTCTTCGATGTGTACCGCGGTTTGGTACCGCCGACATGACTGCACCTGATTAGCCTCTGGATGTAGAGCTGCGTCCAGCTTCCGCATAGAATAATTTTTCAAAAAATTGGGAGTAAAAAAGGCAGCTCAAGATACGTACAATACAACTCATTGTTTATAGTTCTCTATATTCTTTCTGGCAAAGAGAACACAAAATTTCTCTCCTAACTCTCATATTTTTTCTCTCTATCTCCCGAATTTTTAAAATCAATATTATAGTAATTAAGGTCTAACCATCGTCTATGAATAAATTCGAATTAGGACAAAATGATAATGTGTGGATAAATTAGACATATTTGTTTTTATTATTATCTTAATCTTCTGTTTAAGAAAATTTCATCTTCTCTAATTATAATTCTCAATAATATAATAAAATTTATATGAATCTTATTATAAAACATTATTCTTAACATCAAGGACAACTGGGCATCGGTTGGCAAGAGAATGATAATTTCATTCTATTTGCAAATTTGTTAAACGTTTGATATTACCGAATTATAATAAATCTAATTTTGACATAGTTTTGTTTGTATCTAAAAAAAATTCAGCTCCGCCATGGCCGTCCCCCTGTTGCATCTCACCCAGTCTACTTCACTCTCTCTCTCTCTAAAATTTTCAACCCTTTCGGACGCTCTATTTGACCCATTCCTGTTCCCAAACTTCTATATCATCGCAATAAATAAGTTGACACTCCGGCAATCTTCTCCTCTCATGCTTATTCATATTTCTTTTCGCTTCTCTCTCTCTCCTCTCTCTCTCTCTCCTCTCTCTCTCTCTCTCTGAGCTAACAAGCTGAAGACAGGCAATTATTACATAAAGAAAGATGGCCACTGCTGTTCCAGGGCTTAAGCTCTTCGGAGTCAACGTCACCGACAAACTCGCCACAGAGACGACAGACTCCACCAACTTTACAGACGCCGCCGCCGCCGCCGCCGATCCCCGAAAGTACGAATGCCAGTACTGCTTACGTGAGTTTATCAACTCCCAAGCTCTGGGAGGCCACCAGAACGCCCACAAGAAAGAACGCCAACAGCTTAAACGGGCACATGCTGCGGCAGCTGCTGCCGCCGCCGCCGAAGCTGCCGCCGCTGCCAGCCATAACTTCTTCTTCACGGCTTTCTCCCCGCCTCAGGTCTCCTCAACTGCCTGTAGCAACTGGGTATTTTTCTCCCAGCCCTCCCGGACTCACTTCCACTCTTCTCGAGACTCGGCCGCGCAGTTTGCCGGAGTCGGTCACCGCAGCTTATCGATGGTTGGGCCGAAGCGGTCCGGCGGCGGCGAAGATGTGTGTGGGCTCGACCTGCACCTCAGCCTTGCTCCAGCCGGTTCGCTGGCTTGAACCGGAAGGCCGGTTTGCCGGTTTTTTCCCTACTTTTTTTTTTTTTTTGAACTGAATTTTCGACTGATGTGATTATGGCTGTTGAAAAAGATACCCGAGGAATCAATGCATAGCCTTTTCGGAATAAATTAGACCGGTTTTTGTCAATTGCCGTTGAAATTCTATTTTTAAAATACAGAAATTGATATGATGGGACGATTCTGGATTTTGTTCTTGGCGTAATTTAGATTTATCTGAATCCAAACGAATTAATCATGAAATTTGTAATTAAAAGAAAATGAATATTTTAATTCATAACTATATTTCTGATATGTTATATAAAAAATTAATTTAATATAGAATGAATTTTGATACAAATTTTTTAGATTATAGTAAGAAATATTTAAATTAGAACCTTCAAAATTAATTTTTTAGATCATATCAACAATATTTATAGTAAATTTATAATTAATTTTTTAAGAGAATCTTAATGATTTCTAGAATATCTTAATCATAATAAAAAATTTATTTATCAAAATTATAATTAAAAACTTCAACCATTAGAATGATTAGTGGTATCAAAATTGGTCAACGTGTTGGGTTTGTGTCCAACCTGAATTGATCTGAATCCAAATGGATTGACCCTAATTTGAACTGATTTTACAAACGGGCCAAGAATCCTTACATGAAATCAACCCGCACGGTTACCGGGTTGACCCGACTCGCAAACAGCACCAGAGGAAGAGACGGGGATCCTTGAAGTGATGACTTTTGTTCAAGTCGCCGTGAACGGTGGCGGCGGAGGTTACAAGAAAAAAAAAAAGATTTGATTGTGTTCGCAAAGGAGTCAGAATGTAAGGAGGGAGGAATTGGAGTTGGCTATGTTACTGAAACTGAAAGCAGATGAAGCAACGGGGTCTCGGGTTATGGCAATGGCTTCTTACTAGAGATTTCTTCGGCCCAGAAGGGGTGCCAAGCGGGGAGTTCTGCGAGTCCGTCAATGGCAGCTTTGATGTTCTTGATGAGCCTATCACAACTTTGTTGGGGAGGTCGTTCTCGATGCGGTCTTGGACGTCGTAGAACTGAATGGCAGTGTGCATGGAAAGGAGTACTTGGCGGTCTCTATGACCTTTGGCCGTGCAAACCTTGTTGTGGCAGCCTTTACAACCAATGGAGCGGTCACGCGAGGCCAAGGGGCGAAGTCGAACCGAGTGCGCCAACGGATACTAGGTAATTGGTGGGTCAACATAGATTGATTTCGAATTTTAGGGTCAATTCGAATCTTATCAGACTTTATAAACAGGTCGAAATCTCAAATCCAAATTTGAATTGTATGATAATGGGTTGACCAGAAACCCATGGTTTCCTTGTCGGGTCCTGGTCGGTTTTAAGGTCGAGTCAAATTTTAATAAAATTTTAATATTTTTGTTATGAAATATTAATTAAGAAGATTAACATTAATAATCACCTTTCATTAAAATAAAAAATACATTTACTTTAATTAAAAAAAAATATTGCCCACGTTGACATACAGCAAATCCTGTTTTACTAATATAAATTATATAATTTAAATGTTAAAAACTCTAAGAATTTATAATAAGCTTAATTCAATACAATTTTTCATTAATATATTTACATAATCGTACACATAGAGACTCAAATGGTAATTAATTTGCATTCTAACCTACGAGCATTGGCCCATTTTTTTATAATAATTAGTCCTATTGACAAATATTATTATTTTATGAAGTTTAATTTATATTAAATTATAATGAGTAATCATATTTCTTTATTTAGCTTAAAGACTTTACAGGAAATGATCAACACTAAAATGATGTAATTTTTATTTTTAAAATTAATTTAAAAATATTTGTTTATTTATTATTATTATTTTCACAAAAAGACTGAAGAAAAGTGAAAAAAAAAGCTAAAAATAAAAAATAAAAAATAAATAAAAAAGGAAAGTGAAAAAAGTTGGCATGAGATAGGGGGGGTGTAAATGAGTCTAGTTGAGTTAAAGTCATCTTTAATTTGAGCTTGAGCTTAATTTTACAAGCCCGAGCTGGCTCACGAACGAGCTCTTATATAATAAAAAAGATAAAGTGATTATGATTCAATTAATAATTCATAATAAATTTATTACAATAACGAGTAATTAGAAGATGTGTGCGTGTGCGCGCGCGTTTGTGTGAGATAGCTCGTGTGTGAGATATAATTTTAAAATATTTTGAATAGTTTTATAAATGAACTCATAAATTTTAATATATGTTTCATATTTAATATTTTAAACAAGCTTGCTCGAGTCGAGACCGACTTAAACTTGACTCATTAGATCGTGTTCTGCTCACGAGCTATTTATCAAGTCAAACTCGAGTCGGCTCACGAATTAGCTTTAGTCGCAAATATTCTTAATATGAGAGATTGTCAGGAGAGTATAGCTAAACAAGTTGATGCGTGAGATTTTCATTTTTATTGTTTATTATTATCTAATGATGCATAAAAAATGTGAATGTTTTTATTTTTATAATTTATTATTATGGATTGACATTGAAGTTTCAATTATTTTAAATTTATTAAACGCAATTTAATTTTAATATTAAATTAAATTATTATTTTTTAAATTAATGGTTGGTGGCATGGACACATCTTATGAGAGGATAAAAATTGGATTTTATCGACTTTATCCTTCTTTGAAGCTACACCTCATATTTGGCGCTCAGTTTACCATAGTTTTTTTTTTTAATTGCCGACAACAAAAGACAAAAAATTATTATTATTATTATTTCATTGGATAGCGAAAAGTTTTGATTGTCAAGCTGATGATATTTTACCACTAGCGAAATATTGCGAAATAAACGGTCAGTTTGTTTACCATTAATTTAATTTAATTTTTTTTTTTTGGAAAATCGGGGGCAAAAGCTCATATATTGAATCAAGAAAGATTACAAATCAGTAATAAAATAGCAAAAACAAAATATAGGTAAAACCTCTATACCCCCATGTGCAAAAGGAAGTATCAAAAAAGGTTGGACTCACGAAAATATGGTCTACACCAATAACATCATAGCTGAAATCAGGGAGAAAGAAAGCAATCACCCAGCACTGGCAAAGATCACCCAGCAGCAAGATAGAACACTGGTTGTCGCAAGCCCTAAAAGGACGGCAGAGGACCATCTCAGCGTCCTAAACAAATCCAAAAAACCAAAATAGCAAAAGTACTCCCTGATTGCCAAAAAAAAAACAGACCATCCAAGGGAATGGATGGTGTAGACCTTGGCTCATCATTGTCTGTAACCTCAAAAAATAGCCAAAAAACTAGCAGCAAAACCCAATCAATTTCCACCAGAATAGAGCAACTAGTAAAAATGAATCCAGTAACCAACAGCATAAAACCATAGAACGGCTAACACAACCAATCTTGCATACGCAGAAAATGGGGCTGAGCAAACCCGACATCAAGACATAACCATCCAAGAAAAAATTCTCAGAATAATACAGGTCACCAGGCCAGATAGAGATGGGAAAAAGAAGATTAACCCAAAATTTCTCTAAACCGAACCTCCAGTTTATCCTTATACTTTCAGTTTCTAGCTTTGGCTCGAATAGCATTAATAATAACATCTTTAACAATAGAACGACTGTCCCAAGTATTAGTAAACCTCCACTTATTCAGTTCCCTCCAGGTAAAGTAAACGGTAGTAGAAATGGAGAAAAAATAGAAATTTTTCTCCAAAGCGTTGTAATGGGGATTGTTACTGAAGAAATCATATGTTTGAGACAGATTTGGTCTAAGGTAGAAGCAGCTTAACACAGGGAGCATAAAAGTGATAACAGTAAAAGTAAAATCACAATAAAAAAAATAAATATTTAATATTTATTTACTTAGAAGTAAACGTTCCTGTTAACATATAAAATATTTATTCATAAATAAAAGATTTTGTTCACAAGAAAATTGATACATCATTAAAATTATCTTGATCATGCACATATCTCGAGGCAAAATCAAGTTGGAAACTTCTAAAATTAAAATTGGGACCATCCAAACTCAAATTTCAGCAAATTTATAGTCAAACTGAACGTCTCAGAAATACGAACCCAACGACACCAAATTCGACTCAATCCGAGCCCAAGCCCAAATGGGTCCAATTCGAGGACCCGAAGCATTGTTTGAAGCTTTAAACCACAATTTGGATTACCAAACGGTTTCCAAACATGGCATGCTTATAGTAATCGAGCGGCTCGATGAGAAGAATCCAACAAGCCCAAGATTACGGAATTCCGCATGTCTATCGAATGGTCCACGATCAAGAGATTCAACATCGGTCATCCATCCAAACCACTCCCCATTTACCCTTGATCTTCCTCCTATTTACATGCCATGATAATCTAGGAAATCTATAGATAGATCTCTCCTTCCTCTTGGAAGGGGACCCCTAAGCCTAAGGAGAAAAGAAAGAGATCGAAGATCGCTCTTGCTTCCTTCCCTCCTAGACCACCTGATGCCCGAAATTCAGTCAGACCAACACCTAATGCCCGGAGTTCCGCAGGACTACCACTTGAGGCCCTGGGCTCCATCGGACCACCACCTAAGGCCCGAACTTTCGTGCAACCATCACTTGAGGCTCGGACTTCTGCCGGACCACCACTTGAGTTTGGTCCTCCAACCACCATCGCTCGATTTTGGTCCTCTAACCCCTATCATCTTATTATATTCTTTTGACCATTGCACTCAATTACAAACATCTGACCACTATCACTTAACTGTAGACCTCTTATCATTGTCATTCGATTATGTTCATCTAATCACCATTATCTGACCATGACTATCTAGTTATCATCACATAACTATAATTCCCTAACCATCATAACCTGACTACACAATCTCCTAATCATTATCATCTCACTACAGGCTCCTAACCATTGTTTACTCGACTACATCAATGCCCACCAACTTTTTTACCATTCGTCCTTTATATCATCTACGTATGTCATCACTAATAAGATTAATGCATATTATCAAT